GGCTCGGATGAGGGGAGTGGCTCGGCTCGGTGCTCAGGCAGGGAGTGGGGGGGAGCGGCATGGCCTGGCACTGGGAGCGGCACGGTGTGGTGCTCGGCCTGCCGCTGAGGCTGGAGGGGCTGGCTCGGGGTGGCTGGGGTGGGCGAGCTGGGGCTCCTCTGGTCACGGGGGGGCCTTAGGGCTCCTTCTGTTATGGGGCGGCGGGTTTCGGGGCTCCGACGTGCGGGAGGGTGGAGCCTCAGGCGGAAGGGGTGGGGCCGGCGAGCTAGCCTCCCCAAAGTGGGGGTTCACCCGCCGCCCATGCCACACAGGTAGTATTGGATGCGACCCACAATGGTAAATAGGTTGAGAACCACTGCTCAGGATCCTCAAGGAGAGCAACCTTTGTTTGGAGGTTAGATGTGCTGAAGGGAAAATATTCCAAGAAAAAGAAGGGAGGGAAAGGGCACCATATATAATATAGGCCTTGATCCTGCAGTTGGCTCCATGCAGGCAGGCCCACATGGACTTAAGTGGGACTCTGCGCAGGCCAAACTAGTTGCAGGATCAGGTACATAGGCTTTAAGATTTTTTCCTATTTACAGCTGTGTATGTATACATAAATGTATTGTTAACACGGGGCTGTCCTTGTATAGTAACAACAGAACACTAACTTGGGTGGAGGCAGGAATCACAGAACCGACTGTGATTCAGAAAGCCAAACATGCAGGACAAGTGTGCACTTCAAATTACTTCAATGGGACCATTCAGAGAAGTGACCACTCCGTGCAGAGCTGAGCACATAGATAAGAGTTTGCAGGACCCGAGCCCAGGTGTGGCGAGTTGTTGGTTAAAGAGCAGGAAGTTCATGAAAGCCTATATTATTTATATTGCAGTAGTAGCACCTAGAGGCCTGCTCCTGCCAGCTGGGTGTGGCACAAGCATATCACAATGCACCAATGGGCATTTACATCGGTATCTTCCAAATGAGATTTGTGCATTGCAAAGTGCCGTCCTATGGAGAGAAATAAAACCTAAACATGCTGGGGGGAGGAAGAAAGTAGCTTATAGTATCAAAATTCCTGTGGGTTTAGGATTTTTAAAATAAGATTTAAATACCACCCCAGGCCTTAGTTTCCTCATCTCTTTTAACAAACCACAGTTGACATAAAAACCAGGTACAGTAAAGCCAGATCTGATATTAAATATACATGTTTGATTTGCTGTGTAATTGTAAAGGAAAAAATTGCAAGTGACGACTTAAAGATACTTATGCAGGAAATCACAGGAAAATGTGCCATTTGAAAAGCTTTTTTTTTAAAAAAAACACCCACACGTCATATGGAACTGGGCTTTGCAACATTACATAAAAAACCCCATAGAAACACCCTCAGATTCTAGTAAAAGGAGTGAAAATTTTCTTCTCTCAAACCCATTTGGCCAAGGTTACTAATGAAACCAACTTGCTGGAGAAATGGAAAAGATGCTGGTTGCTATGGTGATGAAATATGACCTTCCAAGAATAAATAAGCACCAGCTTTTTTAGGAATCAGTTTATCATCCTTGATTATGACACTCCCCAAACCAAACTTATAATGGAGGCAGATGCTAATTGATTTTCAAACTGAAACGCTACTGTTCTTCATGGTGTGGTTTCTCCTCCCTCCTTACACTGACTAGGGCTCTTCTCTTGCTGAACCGGCATTAGCAGTGTAGCCTAGTGTAGACAAAGGCAACATTTTCAAAAGCACCAAGTCAACTGGGAGCTTCTAAACATTTTAACCAAGGTCTTAGAAAATAATACAGAAAGCACAATTCACCTTTAGTCCTCAGCTTCTCCTAACAGATTTTCAAAATCTCTCCCTTAAGCCTTGATCGTGCAAACCTTTTATACGTGTTCACCTTTATCCACATGAGCATTTCCACTGAAGTCACTGGAAGTACTCGCATATGTAAAGTTATTCACTTGTATTGGGGCACAAGGCATTTCTAATGTGTCCATCACCGAAGTATCTGGGCACCAATTATTTATAATATAAAGCACCATCACATATCAGTAAGCATCACTTATTATTTAGAATGAATTAACTTTTATTTCAGGACATTTATCTCCCAGAGGGAGCACTCCAATAGACTTAACTATAAATATGTATTAAAGACTCAAGAAAATAATACCAGATGGATAGAACCTAAAAGCAATAAAGCACCAATTAATGTATCTTGCCAAGGGCCCTCTGAAATACAAAATACAGTTTAAAAGAGGTCTATGACCCCCCTTTTGCCTCACAAAAAAAAGGATCACGGAGCCTACAAAAGTATGGTCCATGTTCTGTCAGTCTCTGCAAACCGTAGGCTCCAGCAGCGCCCTGCCCTCTGACCTAAGGACAAGATGGCATAGAGGGAGCCAAATGATCAGTAAAGTGTTTGGACTCACTCCAGCAAGGGCTTTAAAGTTAAAACTCCAAAGATCTCTCTGTCTTGGTAATTGGTTTGCCCGCTCCCTGCTGTAGCAGAGGTGGTGATGGAAGCAGGAGTCTTGTAGGTCAGTCGGCTGATTAAAGAGATGAGAGTAGAGTGGTAGGCAAGTGCTGTGTTGTAGAGGACAAGAAGCTGGATTATACACTGAAAAATCCATTGCCCATTTAATGACGGGGCAGTGATCTAGCCAGTAGTTCCACACATCGG